GCGTTGGTACCGTGTACAATAGTGTTTTGCTGCAGTGACATCTCGCTGCTGGCGACTCGCTGCTGCTGGCGATGACTCGCTGCTGGCGAATCGATCTGCGCATGTGTATAAAATGGTATTATTTCCGAAAACACTATGCCAGTCTACAACAAGCGTCGCCTAAATGTAATAATTAGCACGTTGAAATAGGCTAGTAAATATTTTTAACTGGGTTCGTAAATAATATTGGCCTCAAAATATTGTGGCTGAGACATGAGCCGATTAAACGTAGAAATAGGAAACCTAGAAATATAGTATTAAACGCTGAATAGTACTCCAGCGTTGCGACATGCGGACGTTGGTACGAGTAGGTTAGTCTACAAACGTCGCCTAAAGTAATTGATTTTACCCGGCAGAACGAAAGAAGGAAACTCAGCTTTTCAGTTGTCTTAGGCGCAGGTTTTTTGACAAACAATGACCTTTCAGAGGTCAAATTGCTGTCAAGAATATGAATTGGCTGCTTCGCAGCAACAACAAACGGATACAATATAATAATAATGTACCTATAGGATTGGATTTATTTGGTGTAAACACCAAGGATAGCCCACCAAAGTCTAGAAGAAGACTTATTTCCAGTGGGGTCCTTCTGGTGGTGATTGAGCAGTACACTGGGAGACAATCCCCTACTCTTTTCTGAAGAGTGTACTGCGTTCTTTAACGTGCACATGGGCCATAATGCACACAGGACCAACGGCTTAAACGTCTCATCCGAAAGACGGTGCGCTATTGTAACTTGTATTTCAGCTTCTTCAGTATTTAGCTGAATAACAAGGAGAGGCAGCGATGGGAATTGAACCGGGGACCTAGAGATCTCCATGGTTCAGTGCACACACAACGGCTACCACCAGATTAGCCGTCTGAGCTAAGCTGCTCATATCTACTAAAGCTATCATCACCATCTACTTTAGAATCGTCATCACTTTTTGGCGAAAAATATATAATGTCTGGAGAACTTTGTATGATCGGAAATGCAAAAAAAGAAGGAGGGAAGAAGGAGAAGGATGGGAAAGAGAATGTTTATCCAGTACCCGACCGAGTTACATTTTCTCGCAATTCACA